TGTACAAATGTGCTTTACACAATTGATGTATGTATGGATTGTGATAAGAGTTGTATGAGCCCCTAATAAACAGATTTAAAAAAAAGAATTTAAGATATTTTGGAAATTTCATGATTGCATGATAACTTTTTTATTTTTTAGGGATTATTACCAAAACCAAGGGAAACTCCATTCCTCATCTCCTTTTTCATTGCTCAAATTGTGACTACATGCTCTGGGATACTCTCTTATCCTTTTGACACAGTTAGAAGACGCATGATGATGCAGGTATTTTAGATTATTAGTTTTTAGCTAATTAAACTGTATAATATTTCTGATTGCTCAAAATTCAGAGAGATTTGGGCTCAAAGTGGTGCATCAATTGGTTTAACTTAGCTAAAATAAATTCATGATCTGTTAAGTCTAATATTCTTCCCTATTTAAAAAAAAATCAGACAGTAAAGTTGATTCCTTATCTACCATCCAAACAAAAAATGTCTTCCACTCCTATATTATTATTATACATTGTTGGTGAGTCAAGGCAAATGACAGGGATTGGATTTGTATATCTATTCTGTATGTTAAGTAAGTGTTAACTAAGTAGTAATAAAAGTCACAATACATTGATTTATGTGATTATTTGTTATAGTGTATTGTAATAAAATAGTTTGAACTCTAAGGATGAAAAGTTGTTTGTAATGACCTAAGTTCTAAGTATAAACTAAAAAAAAAATTCTGATACATTATATTTCTACTGCTATTACTTGCTACATTTATTCTCACAGAAAATATTTGAGTGCCTAACTTACATTAAACTGGTGGCACAGTTAGCCTTCTGTTAATAACAAAGGTTGGTGGCTCACACCACCCAGCAGTGTCACAGAAGCTTAGAAATCTGCTTTTATAATGATTACAAGCAAAAGAATCCTAATGAGCCGTTATTTCCACGTGTTGACACATAGGTTTTCAAGAGTTAGCATCAATTGGATGGCAATGAGCATGGTTTGATTTTCATGATGACACTGGAGTCCCTAAGTGGTCAAAACAGGTGCTGGGCTGCTAGACTGAAAGGGTGGAGATTTTAGTTCACTGAGAGATGCCTGTCTGACTGCTTCTGAAAAATCAGCCATGGAACCCATGAAGACCACAGTCACATAGGACACATGCACTGAATACCATGAGTCAGAATCTACTTGACAGCCACTGGTGTATTGTGACCTACATCAAAATAAGACACAAATTGCATGTAAATCCTAATATGAGTATTATAGGCATAGTGTGAATGGCTTAAATAATGACGTAGAGGAGGCATGCCCAAATGCCTACAGTGGTTATGTGTTATGTAGCCACCTGGTGAGAGTGGAAAGGCATTTTAAGCAGAGAAGGGAAAACATGCAAAATAGAGGATATTATCTATGACAGGAAAGAAAAAAAGGACCAAAGTGAATGTCAGAAAGGACTTTGTAACTTGTTCTGAACTGTAGAGTAGCTAAAGCAAATGGAAGAAACAGTGACGTAAAAGACCAGAGCAAAATAAAACATTATCATTAAATGTGCAAAGAATCAGAGTTAGAAAACCAAAAGAGAAGAACCTGTTCAGTATATCACAAGCTGAAAAAAAGGGAAGGGGAGAAAAGAAAGAATTCAAGCCTCAAATTGTAATATTGAAGGATTCTGTGGACCAAAAACATTGAACAATGCCAAAATCACCAACAGAAGATGGAAAGAATATACAGGCACTGGACTGAAATGAACTGATTGACATTCCTCTATTTCAAGAGACAACTATCTGGCCAACCAACTTGAAAAGATACGTATTTTGTGCCATTTCCAAAGAAGGAGGACTCAGCAGAATGGAAAGACTGTCAAATAATATCATTAAAATCACATGTAGAGTGACCATCCATTGCATGCATATTTCATATTTTATTTATTCATGTGTTCTAAAATACTTCTGTTGTTCCTGCCTTTTGAGTACTGTGTGTGAATAGTAGTGCAGTGACATTGGTGTGCACATACTAGGTTGAGCCCTTCCTTTCAGGTCTCTTGGATATATTCGAAAAAGTGGAATTGCTGGATTACATGGTAATTCTCTGGTTAACCTTTTGAGGACCTGCCAAACTGTTTCATACGGGCTGCACCACTCTTTTATTTTTTCTTTTGTTTAATTCTCATCCTCAATACACAGACTCCAGTTTCTCCAATCTTTGCCAGTACTTGTTTGTTTCTGTGTTTGATTGGGTTGACTAGAGAAACAGATCCAGAGACACTCATATATGTAAGAGAGAACTTTATGTCAAGAAGTAATTATGCATCAATAAAACATCCCAGCTCAATCCAGATAAGTCCATAATTCTGATATTTGCCCGTATGTCTGATACCAGTCTATAAATTCCTCCTCAGACTCACAATACATGCAATAATGCTGAATTCAGGAAGATCACAGGCCAGGGAGTGGAATGTCTTGGAGATCCAAGGACAGTGGAAGCATCTCAGCACTGGCATGACTCCAGGGCTCTGGCTGCCATCAGCATAGCTCCATGTGTCTTGTCAACAGGAATGTGAAGCAGAGAGAAAAAGTGTGTGCCGCCTCCAGGGAGGAAGATAGGAAGACTCCCAGAATCCTCATGAGAAAGCCACGCCCACAAGGAGGCGTTAGGCTGTGACCAGATCAACAGGCTTGATTCCATCACTACAACCTATTTAACAAGTTGACATGAAATTATGTAACTACCACAGTTTCCATTTTCTGATCATAGCCTTTGTAGTGGGTGTGAGGTGATACTGAGATTTTGATTGGCATTTCCCAAATGCAAATGACTATGCCTAGTAGTATAGTGGCTATACATTGGGCTACTAACCACAAGGTCAGCAGTTTGAGACCACCAGCAAGTCCAGAAAAGAAAGAAGCTTTCTTCTCCCCTAAAGAGAGTATGGCCTCAGAAACCCACATGGGCAGTTCTACCTTGGCCCATAGGGTTGTTGTAGGTCAGAATCAACAAAGGCAGTGAATTTGAGGAATATCCGTGTGGCGTGAGCTCTTATCTGTACCCGTGTACATGTTCCGGTTTAGACCAATGAAAGACAGGACTGGGGTCATGATAGTCCCGGGTGAGGAAGCCTCAAGGAATCAGAGGAATATTATGCATTTCATAGGTACTATACTGCTCGCTGGTTGACTCATCTCTTCCTTGTGACCCTTCTGTGAGGGGATATCCCATTGTCTACAGATGGGTTCTGGCTCTCTGCTCCGACCCACCTCATTCTCAGCACAATTTTTTTATTATTATTAAAAAAAATCCTACTGGAACTTGGATAATGAGTGCATTAATGTATAGAATACTTAGGGTAATAACAATATTCCAAACTGAATATAAAATGTTTTTCCACTTAGGACTTACATAATTTCTTTCAGCAGTGTTTCCGTTTTCTGTATACAAGTCTTTCACCTGAAGCAGTTTATTCCTGTGCATTTTATTCTTTCAGATATAAGTTGGATTTTTTTTTCTTGATTTTCTTTTCTGATTGTTCATTGCTGGGATATAGAAACATAGATGATTTCTTGTTCTCTGCAGTTTTGCTGATTTCGTTTATTAGCTCTACCAGATTTCTTATGACTTCTTTGGAATTGTCTTACGAGGGAGCTACAAAAAGTTTTTTGGAAACGTGGAACTTAATGATACTGTATTAGGTTCATGTCATCTTCAAATAGTGATGGTTTTACTTCCTCCTTTCTGATTTGTATACCATTCATTTTGTTTTACTGCCCAATTTCTCTGGCTAGAACTTCCAGTACAGTGTTCAACCGCAGTGAAAGAAAAGATTTCTTTTTGAGTAGATGATGACATTAGTTGGGAGTATGTCGTAAATGCCCTTTCTCTTGCCAAGGAGCTTCCCTTCTAGTCTTAGTTTGTAAGACTATTATAAAAGCTGGGTGCTTTTGTAATAAGGTTTTGGCAAATGACTTTTATGTCAAGATAATTTCAGGGTCTAGTTACACCTTTTTAAAAGTGATTTCTCAATTACAGTATAGTCAGAGATTAAATTAAAATATATATACATCAGGCCATTTCTTTAATATTTGTTATGCTAGTGTCTTAAGTTATCTAGAGAAGCAAAACCACTAAGGTACATATATGAGGGGGTACCTGCAAAAAAACAAACCTTTTGTTTTTTCCAAAGCTATGTATTTAATTTTTTTTTTTTTTTTTTACAAAACAACCTTATCACCTTCAAAGTACTCTCCATTACATTTAATATGTTTGTCAAATATGCGATTCCATTCTTGGAAACATTTTTCAAACTCATCTGTTTGGATGGCTGACAGCACCTCCCTCATTTTTTCTTCACCTCTTAAATTTAGTCAAATCGCTGCCCTTTCATGTCCCTCTGCATTCATGGAAACAAAAAGAAGATACATAGACTGAAGTCAGATGTGTAAGGTGTGTGGGGCAAGTGAAGCATGCTGGTTTTTTGCCAAAAACTGGTGCACTGAGATGGCTGCATGAGCAGGTGCATTATCATGGTAGCAAAACCAGTCCCCTGTCTGCCACAAATCAGGTCTTTTTTGTCTCATACTGTTTCCCAATCTTTTCAGAACCTCTAAATAGGAAGCTTCTGACCTTGTGGAACAAACTCTAATGCTATCCCGGTTACATCAAAAATCAAATGAGTTTCAATATATATAGGGGTATATATATATATATATATATATATATACACACACATATGTACATATATATACACACATATATATGTACATACAGTGAACCCTCGTTTATCGCAGTTAATCGGTTCTAGACTCTACCGTGATAAATGAAATTCCACGAAGTAGGAGTCCTTATTTGTAAATCAAATATTTTCGTAGTTAGAGCATAGAGGACATGAAAAAACACCCTTTAGTCATCATTACACTCGTATTACCCAATTTATTAAACGAAAAAGGGAAAATACAGTAAAACATTTTGGACGTTACAATTATCATTTATTATTTATTATATTATTTATGGCATCAAGCGTGTACAGTATGAGCCAATCAGTGGCAGTAATGACAGAGCATGCGCTGTTACGCAAAAACCGCGATAGAGTGAAGCCGCGGAAGTCGGAGTGCGAAGTGGCGAGGGTTCACTGTATATATATAGAGAGAGAGAGAAGAATGAAGTCATTTATCAAGCCATTGGTTCACACAATTGGAAAAGACAAAAAGATCTAAGAGTCTGTGGTTCAGATGTTAGGCTTCTCCTGACTTGCGTGACTACAGGATCTGATGACCACAAGGTCAGCAGGAAGATGACATGCTAGTGGTTGCATAGACAAATGTCAAGAAAAAAAGGCCAGTTGGCAAGCCACTGACAGCAACTAGAATTGGCAGACAATATGGCAGACCAAAGAACTGGAGGTCAGTGAGCCAGATGCAGGATCTAGAACTAGCAAAAAACAAGCGAGCGTTTTCACAATATCACCTTACATTGGAAGCAGGCCATACCTTAAAGAAACTTTCAATTGATTGGATTAGGACTGCGATATGAATAAGGATGTAACACCCCACTGTAAACTTCTTATAAGTGATTGCACATAACAGATCCCATTATGAAGTTGATTACATTGTGTTAGGTCACATTGTGTTAGGAGATTACTAGGTCTTAACAGCCAAACCATTGAGAATCTTAGCCCAGTCAAGTTGACACCTACCACACCTATAATGTAGACAGTTTTTAAATGTCCCTTAAAATCATGAGCAGTCTCCCATTGGGTGCAACATTCAATATATGCCCATTAACTCAATGCACTCAATACATAATAATCTTGTCTACATTTAGTTGTGAATGAAAACCATATAAAATCAAACGTAACAGCAAATTGTCTTTCTTTTTATAGAGTGGTGAGTCTGAACGGCAATATAGAGGAACGTTGGATTGCTTCATGAAGATATACAAATTTGAGGGGATCAGAGCATTTTTTCGTGGCGCTTTCTCCAATATCCTTCGTGGTACAGGGGGTGCTTTGGTGCTGGTATTATATGATAAAATTAAAGACTTCCTTAATATTGATATTGGAGGTAGTTCACAATGAGATTAAATAGAGAGATTTAGCTTTTTGAACAAATTGCAAATTACATAGCTGCCATTTGTATACATTTTGAGAGAGTATGTTATTTGCTGTCAGTGTTTTCTTAAAGTGCTAATTCTGTAATAAAGTATAGGCTCTTTTCAAGGACTTAAATACTTGTATACAACGAAGAGTAGACATACTTGTATACAACGAAGTGTAGACTTCCTTCCCCTCAAACTCACATTCACTTTAATGAGACATGTATAAGCATTGTATGTTATTTCAATTTGTTTAAAATAATTTTCTTACTTTTGTGATAAAAAATTAAAGTATCTGATGCTCAGATATAAAAAATTAAAATTTCTCTATTCTTTTCATATATCTGTTTTCTCATCTTTTCAAATCATATGGCATGCTTAATATTTCTTAAAAGTGTATCAGGAGATGTCATCATTTAGATCTGTGGGCATAAATAGTGTTCTATAACATCTCTGCTAAGAAAGCAAAGGTATTACCATATATAGTTTTTATAGTAACAATAGCTTTTTACATATGCAGATATTAAATCTGATCATTAAAACAATTGTTAATGACTTTCATTATACTTATTTTAAGCCTATAGTTGGAAATTAAAAGATATAAAGTAGCTTATATGTGATACTTAACCTTTAAAATAATTCCCTTTAAAATTATTCTGTATTAATAATAAAGGAAGTTGCATCTGTTATAAATAAATCCCAAAAGCCCAATCCACATCATTAAAGTAAACACTACTTTGAGGAGGCGCCCCCACCCCCACCCCCGGCCGGCCGTTGTATTTTAAATACCTTCCTGAGAGCTTGATCTTCCAGCACTTTTATCAGTTTTCCACTGTTTTTCATAAGATTTACAGTGACTGATCTCTCAAAAGTGAATCACCTATTCTCCTCCCTATTCTGTTAATTTGGAAGCTGTACTAAACCCATTCACTGTGAATGACCTTGCTGGTATTTGAAATACTGGTGGCCTAGCTTTCAGTAGCACAGTAGCAAGCCACTACAGTAAGACAAACTGATAGATGAGTCGTGGATTGAATTAAGATCGTCTAAATAAGGGCAATTAAAATGATCAAATAGTAGAAAGAATTTCCCATATTAAGATAGAAGAAAATGAAAGCGATTCCTGTTATAGCTATACAATTTACCTGCAACTATGGATCTATCCAACCCTATAAAACCTATTATGTTTAAAAAGTGATAAATACAATGGTTCATAATAACAAGCAAACACTACTTTGTGATGTGCTTAAGAACATTATTCTTGAATTATGTTAACGATGTTTTAGTATGTGTGTTTAACGTTTTTGTTCATAGAATAGTACATTATATACTAAATAATAAGATAGACATTTGAATGATTGAAGTTGGAAATAAACTGGACCTAATGGCTCCAACTTTGTTACAAACTCAACTTAAAGACAGACATAGGACTGGAACCTTGTGATATGGGAACTGCCAGGATAAAAGCTATTGTGTTTACAGAGGCATAAGTGGAGGATAAAATCCTGTATATGGCAAACATAGAAAAAGACAAATAGGAATTTAGTCTTTAAGTCTGTAGACTAAAGCCTATTTTTTTAAGATGGGAGGATGTTTAACTGGAACAAAGAAAATAAAATGTTATGCCTGACACAGTGGGTTGTACAAGCCCCCAATAAAATGATTTTTTTTAAAGAAAAAGAGATCTATCACATATAGGCTTGTACTGTCTAACACTGTTAGACACATGTAGCTACTTAATACTAAATTTGAAATAATTGAAATTAAATAACAGTAAAAATTCAAAAGAAAAGAAAATGTTACTTAACTGCCCTGAAGTGAACAAAACAATATATATTACATTGAACTGTTGTTAACATCAAAGTGACTGACTTAAAAGGAACAAAATGATGAGATTTCATGGGGAAATAATTTTTAATGGTTAAGATAAATATTGGAAAAATGGATAGCTGAAGTATACTTCAGATTCCACGGTGATGCAGAGATTAAGCACTGAGTGATTCTGAAAGGTCAGCAGTTCAGTTTCAACAGCCGATCTATGGGAGAAAGCGCCTGGCAGTCTGCTCCCTAGAAAACAGCATGCGTAGTTCTACATTGTCAGTTACATAATGAACCTACTTGTTCCAGGAATTTATATCCCAGCAAACTTTGGCCATTTTGCCCTAATCTAGAGAAAATGTTAATTTAATTCCCTGTACCAAAATAGCATGGGTGGCCATATCTGACCTCCTCTGGCTTCCATATTACCATGATAGCAGAGGTCAGACATGCCTTCACCCTCTTAGCCTTTTAGCACCAACCATTCCTTCTCCCACAGCACTACTTCTGTGCTGGGTTTAATAATTCATTGCAATGGCCACACAGAACTGAAGGACAATACTTAGAATTAGGGGGTTTATTAGAGGAACTAACAGGATCAGTGCAAGTCAGGTCAGTAAAGAGTAAGATACAGTACTGATCCACAGTAGTTCCTCTCAGCCAAGTCTCTCTCTGGTCCTTAGCCTCTTAGCCATGTGATCCCTTGGCCTTTGCCTCGCAGAACCAGGAAGCCTGCCTCTGGTTCTGTCTCACAGCCCCATATTCTAAGGGCAGATGAGAAAGTACGCCATTGTGTCAGCACTGATCCTCTGGATCTTGGTGCCAAAGTCACTATGCCACAGCCTCTGGGCTTGCTTGGCTTCTGTCTTTGCCCCTTCAGACAGATCTGAAACTACTCTTCCAGTGGTCCTGGGATTTTGCTTTATGTCCAAGATGGTTCTTTTACACAGAGGAAAGGCTTTGATGGAGATGTGGTTGTCTTAACTGATCATACCCGCAAGGAAGCAATGGGTTATGACTTGGTTCACACCCTCTATTGAGGTCAGAACTTAATCCCACTTTTATCCTGACCATTATATAGCAGGGAACGCTTTCCAAAATGGGACTATAGCCATAAGCAAAGAATCCAGAATTATGCCATATAAGGAATTAAGGCTATTAAAAGCCATATTAATTGACTACATCTCACCCAGCCCTAAAATTTTCTCCCCAAATAATGTCTAAAATCTTATCAAAGCTTCATTCTTTTAATTAAAAGTTGTATCTTGTAGAAGCACACCAGCCTATGTGATCATGAGGTATTGAAGGGATCAGGTAGCAGACATCAAAAAACAAAAAGTAATCGTTGTGTGCTCACCTTCCCCATACAAATGCTGAAAACAAATGTATGCATAAGCAAGTGTAGTGAAGAATGCTGATGGTGCCTGACTATCGAGAGATACCGCATCTGGGGTCTTAAAGGCTTGAAGGTAAACAAGCAGCCATCTAGCCCAGAAGCAACAAAGCCCACGTGGAAGAAGCACAATTCCCTGTGTGATCACGGAGTGTCGAAGGGATCAGGTATCAAGTATCAAAGAACAAAAAATCATATCATTGTGAATGAGAGGAAGTGCGGGGTGGGGACTCAAGGCTCATCTGTAGGCAACTGGACATCCCTTAGCAGAGGGGTAGCGGGGTGGGGACTCAAGGCTCATCTGTAGGCAACTGGACATCCCTTAGCAGAGGGGTAGCGGGGAGGAGACGAGTCACTCAGGATGCAGTGTAGCATCAAGGAAACACACAGCTTTCCTCTAGTTCTTAAATGCTTTCTCCCCCACCACTATCCTGATCCCAATTCTAACTTAAAAATCTGGCTGGACCATAGGATGTACACTGGCACAGATAGGAACTGGAAACAGGGAATCCAGACAGATGGATCCCTCAGGACCTGTGGTGAGAGTGGCGATAACAGGAGGGTGGAGGGAAGGTGGGGTAGAAAGGGGGAATTGATTACAAGGATCTACATATAACCTCCTTCCTGGGGGATGGACAACAGTAAAGAGGGTGAAGGGAGACGTCGGGCAGTGTAAGATATAATAATTTATGAATTATTCAGGAGGAAGGGGGGAAAATGAGCTGATACCAAGGGCTCAAGCAGCAAGCAAATGTTTTGAGAATGATGATGGCAACAAATGTGCTTACACATGAATGGATGGATTGTGATAAGAGTTGTACGAGCCCCCAATAATATGATTTTTTTAAAATAAAAAATCCATCAGCATACAAAAAAAGACGTATCTTCTAAAAGAAAGATAACTTTTAAGGTACTAATCAAGTATACTTAATGAAACTACACTTACTTTGATGAGTTTCCCCTTGGTTCTTCAAAGAAAGTTTTGATAGTGAAACAGATAAGACATGAAAATGTCACACACTCATCTAGCAGGGTACTCAGACACCAGGAACCTCTAAAGAAGGTGTCAACTATTTCATTTTACTTGTATCCATAATACTCATAGAAGCAGTGGTCAGAAAGCCAAACAATGGTATTGCTTTGGGCAAACCTACTACAAAAGACTTGTTTGTGTAAAGTGTTGTTATATGTTATTAATCTGTACATGTCAACAATCCATGTTTTAGTCTAAAAAGCTACCCTATACCTGATTATAGTTTTCTAAGCATCTGAAATTCTATACCATTAACTAAATTAACAGTACTATTAATAGAATTATCATTTGCCCCATGGAAATGATGTATAATATTCCCAATAAAATAATTATCTCTTAAGTGGACCAGGGGCGTATATAAAATATATGAATGAATTTTGAGCTTTCCCTTAACCATTAACCCTAACCTAAGAAAAATTAGTTCTTATGATATGGCCTAACTCAATACTTGTCAATCACTGAAGATATGGGTGCTATAAGAAAGTGTGGTAGAGAAACCAGATGGTGCCTGGCTATCAAAAAGTAGTGTCTGGGGTTTTAGAGGCTTGTCTTACACAGCAGCCATCTAAGATGACAGCTACAGCTACACAGCAGAAGCACACAGTCTCTTATGAACCAAGGACTGTAAATAAAATCCAATCCTGGAGGAGAGGACAGTATTAGAGATTAAATTCTGAGCACCTGGTTGGCAGAAGGCTCTGGATGACAGTGAAACCCCAAAATGCTCTGGCAATATCCCCACATAGATTAATCTTCTGGAGCATCACCCCTCACCATTCACCAGTGATGTGAATAGCTTTGCTATCAGACAAACGTCATTGGAAAGCAGAGTAAGGCTGATGTAGAAAATTTAACACTTTATCATATCCGTGACATTTTGACCCATTTTTAATTTGTTCATTTTTATGTTCTGCTTTCTTTTGTATTGAAGTCTCTGTGTTTTATTTTGTAAATGTTGTTGATGGGTGGGGTGGGGAGTGTATGTTTT